GCGGGGGGGCCGCAAATGACGAGACGGAGGGGATGCTGCATTTTCAGCGTATAGTTCTGCTGAACGGGGGATGCAATCGAGTTGAAAGCCATGGCCTGAGCGATTTGCTGCGCGATGCCGCTCTTCGGCAGGGTTCCATCGACGGTAAGAATGGGGCAGGTGGTCGAAAACGACCCGACGACAGCATTGCAGTGCGCATGGTAAGTGGCGAGTCGCGTGCGGATCGTGTCTTCGGTGTCGTCGCTTCGTTGGATGACCTGGACCCCTTCGGGAGGTGGGTTAGAAGCGATGTGGTACGTTTTGCCGGTGGCCGGATCGAGTCGCCGACCAGCAATCCGCTCCACCACGACGTCGTCTGGGACATCGAGAACGACGACTAGGGACGGGGAGATGCCACACTGCAGCATCGCTTGCGCCTGGACAGCGTTTCGTGGAAACCCATCGAGAAGCCATCCCTTTTCGACACAATCCGACTGCTTGAGGCGGTCCAACATGATCTTGAGAATGATATCGTCTGGTACGAGCTTGCCGGTATCCATGAACTCCTTGGCTTGAAGCCCAAGCGGAGAATTCGTTTGGACGGCCGCGCGAAGCATGTCCCCTGTCGATAGGTGGACCAGGCCATGTACTTGAACCAAGAGCTCACACTGGGTCATTTTTCCCCCAGCAGGGGGGCCGCACATTATTACATTGGAGCGCGGGAAGCATTTCGACGACGACATCTCGGCAGTGCGTGCAGGATGCTGGGCGCCATCACTGCGCCCCGATAGCAAAGGTTCTGGACGTTTTGGCGGCGATTCCATCAGCTCTCGGTGCTGTTTGAACGATATCTGGGGTTTGGCGACGCGAAAACCACGCATTTCAACGTCACGGCAAGCTTTCTTCTTTGACGGCGACGCGTTGTTCTGGACGGCTTCGATCGAAGCGTCGATGTGGTGGATGATGTCGGCCTTCGGCAGCATCCCGTCGACGTGCACGATCGTCGACACCGGCACAAACGTGTCGACGACCGAGTCTACGTTGGCATGGTACGTCGCCAGGCGCACTCGGATCGTGTCCTCGTTGTCATCGCTGCGCTGCACGACGTCAACGCCCGGCGGTGGCGGATTGAACGACACGTGGTACGTCTTGCCGGTGGCCAAGTCGACGCGGCGGCCCGAAATGCGCGACACCACTTCGTCGTCCGGGACGTGCAGCACAAGCACGACGTCTGGGGTGATGCCGGCGTCGACCATGGCTTGTGCCTGGACTGCCGTTCGCGGGAAGCCGTCGAGGAGCCACCCGCGCTGTGCACAGTCTGGCGCGTGCAGCCGCTCCAGGATGACGTGGACGATCAAGTCATCTGGGACGAGCGCCCCGGCGTCCATGAAGTGCTTGGCTCGGATGCCGGTGTCCGAGTTGGCCTGGATGGCGGATCGAAGCATGTCGCCGGTCGAGAGGTGCACGACGCCGTACTTGGCGACGAGTCTCTCGCACTGCGTACCCTTGCCTCCCGCGGGGGGGCCGCAAATGACGAGACGGAGGGGATGTTGCCGGCGCGAGGTTAGTTTCGGACTCACGAGGACGACTGGAGGGGCGACCACCGTCGGCACGTGCACCTTGCCGCGCACAGCGTCATGCCATTCGCGTAGTTCAGCTTCTGTCTTTGCCAGCGGCACCTGGCGTGGTTTGACGAGCTTTCGATGGCGCGATTGCCGTCGGCGAACGTGGTATTGCAAATGGATGATGCCAGACACTGTTCGATGCTCGACCGCGTCAAACACAAAGCTCATGGGCACCATGACTGCGAGGGGCGTCGTCTCTATCGGCGGCAAGTCCTCGGCAATGACTTCTCCAGCATCCATGTGCAGGTCGAGTCGGCGCGGTGTCGTCATGTGCCTGGCTGCGAGTGTCCTGTCAGTTACGTTGAAACCGACATTCATCTCGGCGAGAAACGGTGGTTCAAGACGCTGGAGATGGCAACGGCAATACACTCCGGGCAGAGGCCGAGATTGCGATCAGCGCCACCCACGTGAATCGGAGCAGGGCCCAGGACGGCTTGCACAATCGAGACGTCACCCACCGCACTCGCTGCTGGTGCACGAGTCTCGGCCACTCGTTGCCATGACGTTTTACCTCTGCCGACGCAAGTCGCTCCAAGAATACATTACGCAAGTCGATTGAATTTCGTGCATCACAACGCGTACAAACTACGTGCATCCATGGCCCCCTACGATCTGGAGACATGGCGACATGATCGCGAGGAAGCTAACGATGGCTACCCAGGCAAACCCCAACGCGTAGACTGCGATGGCACACGCACCGCCGACTCGAGACGCCAACTGCGGCTGTTTCAGGTCATCGAGTGCCTCGATCGAATTCGGCAAGAGGTATGGGATGAAGGGAAGGGCGACGAGCCGAATGACGCTCGTCAGCACAGTGAGCTTCCACACCCCAGCCGTATCACCTGCCTGCATGTCTTCGAGCTGGACGGGCCAAATTCCAAGCAACGCGTTCGAAATGGTGCTGGCAAACCCACCGGAAAGATTGGAAAATCCTGTGAGGAGAGCAAAGGCGACGGCTTCTTGGCCTTCCGGACACACGCGGGTGAACATGATCGCGGACGGAAGGTACTGGACGCCGTACGCAAACTTCATGATGGCCGCGTCGCCAAGCGCAAACCAGTACGCTGGGAAGCCGATGGGCTCGTTGAGGCGAAACACGAGCACGAGGTTGGCCATGGAAAAGATGGCAATGACGACGCTGGCAAACGCATACACGCTGCGCCAGTGGCCGCCTTTGAGAAGGTATCGCTTGTACGCGTAAACGCCCAAGAACCCGACGGTCGACCCCACGGCCGCCATCGACCCGTACTCGAACGCGTTGAAGGCATACCGGACTTGGAGAAAGTTGCCCCATGCTGCGTTGTACGTGTGCAGCGTATGGTACACCACGATGAACGCGAGGGGCTGCCACGTCGCTCGGAGACACAGCATCTTCCACAGAAGATGGAGCTGGTCGCGAAACGGAAGCACCGTCGCGACGACTGGCTCGTCCATAAAGTACAAGAACGGCATGATTGTGACGATGGGAAGAACGGCCAAGAGGCCAAAGCACTGCCCCATCGTGAGTCCCCACCCCCACGTATCACGGTTGGACAGGACGGATCCTGTCCAGTACCCCAATGTTTCGGCGAGGAATCGAAGCATGTAGATCGTGCCTTGAATCTGTCCGCGCGACCCGTCCGGCTCGGCCATCGCTTTGTACGTTAACAATGCATCGGCCATGACGTCGACCATGATGAGGCCCAACATGGAGAAGAAGAGAAGCGTGGTGAAAGTGACGACCGACATGTCGTCGGCGGACCGCGCCACGACGACGTGAAACAGCGACGCGATGGCGTATCCGAGGACCATGTACGGCTTGAAGCGATGGCCGGCGATCGGAAACACGTCGGCGAGAACTCCGTAGAGCACCTACGACGTGTGAAATGTTGTAGTTGCGCATGGCGAGTTGTGCACCTTGAACGTCCAAGGGAGGTTGCGCACGACGCCAATTGTACTCAGTTGCGAGTCCGACGCACCAAGCTGCCGCGGGTAGTATTCGATGAATGCGTTGGGGAACGTGATGATGATGCCGATGCAAATGTAGTTGAGCGGGACAGCGATGTTCCGTAACGACCACAACGACGACGAGTCTGCCGACTTACCGGCCGCGGCTTTCCGAGGCAAGACATGATCGATCTCAAAGGAATGATACTCCATCTCCATGGGGTCCGCGACACCAGTCGAACGTTGCCGAGTCGGTCCTGCAACGCACGTCCGCCGCCTTTGCTCTCCGCCCCCGAATCGTCGAACGAGAAACTGCCAAGCGAAACGATTTTTCCATTGAGATCTTGGAACACGAATCGACTCAACGAGGCGCGCGAAGGACGACGAGATGTGTATGCCTCTGCGACGTCCCTGGATGCATGACGTCGTCCAGAGAAAGTTGCTTGCATGCGCGTCGCACGACATCGCCCATCAAGTCAAGCTCGACGATCAAATGATGCTTTCTCCACGTTTAAACTATGGCACTCGTCGGGTTACGCTTCTTCGCACCACTTGTTTTCTTCACGGATTTGAGCTTCTTCCTCCGGGGTAAAATCGTTCGTGATGTTGAACGTTTCACGGATTTCTTGAGGGGTCTTGCCCTTGATCATGCTGGCCACTTTTGCGCACGCCAAGTCCAAAAGGCTCTTGATGTCCATGTAGTTGGCAGCCTAGGGTAGGGCAGGTCCCGTTTGAGAACGACCGACGGCAGGATCGTCCGACAACGCACCAAAATCAATTCGAAGAGCAAGTCTTGCTCAATGTCGACAAATGTTGCGTCCCATTCGCTGACGACGTCGTGCATGTCCCCACTGCGCAGAGGCTGTTCCAGACGTGTGAGAGTCGTTAAACATGAGGGCGCGCAAACGTAGGGGCGTCGTACCTTTTCGATCTCTGGCATCGGGTTGTTGTGGTGGTGGCTGCAGAATTCAATCACTTTCGACAGCACCGTGCTCTTGACGTTGGGCAACGGGATTTCCTGCGCTTCGTCGTCTTGCTCGTCGGCAATCATTGTTCGCACCAGCTCACTCATGACAGCGACCTCCCGGGACACTTCGAAGCTGTCTCCATCTTGCGACACCAAGTTGACTTTCTGCGTGTCCGCCATGATGTGCGCGAGGGGAATTTCTAGATATTCCAACGGGATGAACGGCCCAAACAGAGACGCGCGGTGGTCGAGGCACGCAATATGATTGGCCAAAATTCAATAACTTGATTTCAGTATGTGGTAGTGCAGTGAACACTCATGTGGCTGCGTCGCCGTCCGTGCACGCGGTGCTACGTTAGCGACGTGGCATGGCGCTTGCATGAAGCAAGAAAAGGCCGTTTGTGTGAATATCACCTTCCTCCTCATTCAGCCATCGTTCTGTGCCCCCAACTGCGTCGCACCGTGATGGGGGGCGACGCGTGGTCGAAAACTATCCTGTTCGTTTTCTCTTTTGTTTGAACAAGCCAAGAATCCCGTGACTCCTTGGCCTGGGGCAAAGCGTACGCTTGAAAGGTAGATCGTCGATCTCGTCATTCGTTCTGAGCTACGCACGACACAGCCCCGCCGTGACCCCAGAGACACTCTGCCTTGGCAGCACATGAAGGATGCCATCTTGGCGAAGCAATCGAAGTTCGAACTCGACAGTCGCCACCGACGAAGAGATGTTTGATTCGCTAAAATTAACACCATGGATGTGTTTGATTGGCCAAGACAAACGAATTTTGGCTGGTGCTCATGGCCAAGCTCGCATTTTGCGCGACGGCGGTGATCACTTCCCATTTCCCTTCAAGATGTCGCATCGTAAGTTCGAAGCTCCCCGTCATGGTAACCTTGGGTTCCTCCCCAAGAAGCGTACCAAGCACCATCGTGGTCGCATCCGCAAGTTCCCTCGCGATGACCCCACCAAGCCGTGCAAGTTGACTGCTTTCATGGGTTACAAGGCCGGTATGACTCACATTGTCCGTGAAGTCGAACGACCTGGCTCCAAGGTGCACAAGAAGGAAATCGTCGAAGCCGTCACGATCGTGGAAACCCCCCCGATGATTGTCGTCGGTGTGGTTGGGTACCTGGAAACCCCCCGCGGTCTCCGCACGTTGACCACTGTCTGGGCTGAACACTTGAGCGAAGAAGTGCGCCGCCGCTTCTACAAGAACTGGTACAAGTCGAAGAAGAAGGCGTTCACCAAGTACGCCAAGAAGTACGCGGAAAAGCCGGCCGAGATCGAAAACGAACTCAACCGCATCAAGAAGTACGCTCAAGTGGTGCGCGTGATTGCCCACACTCAAATCCGCAAGGTCAAGCTTCGCCAAAAGAAGGCCCACTTGTTGGAAATCCAAGTCAACGGTGGATCCGTCGCCGAAAAGGTCGACTTCGCGCACTCGTTGTTCGAAAAGCCCGTGCCCGTCGCGGCCGTCTTTTCGCAAGACGAAATGATCGATGTGTGCGCCGTCACCAAGGGTAAGGGTTTTGAAGGTGTCATCACCCGTTGGGGTGTGTCCCGCCTTCCCCGCAAGACCCATCGTGGTCTCCGCAAGGTGGCTTGTATCGGTGCCTGGCACCCTTCGCGCGTTCGTTTCACCGTCGCGCGTGCCGGTCAGCTCGGTTACCATCACCGTACCGAAGCCAACAAGAAGATTTACCGCATCGGTGCTGCTGGCGATGCCAAGTCGGCCACGACCGAACAGGACTTGACCGAAAAGAGCATCACGCCCATGGGTGGCTTCCCCCACTATGGTATCGTCAACGAAGACTGGTTGATGCTCAAGGGTGCCGTCGCCGGTTCCAAGAAGCGTGTGTTGACTCTTCGTCAATCGCTCTTGGTCCACACCAAGCGCAGCGCTCTCGAAGAAATCAAGCTCAAGTTCATCGACACGTCGTCCAAGATGGGTCATGGACGCTTCCAAACCGCCGAAGAAAAGGCCAAGTGGATGGGTCCTTTGGCTCGCCAAAACCGCGCTTAAGCGGTGCCATGGCGAACACCGCCTGTTTGACCAGGCACACTTCATCTCGATGGGATAATTGTAATTCATTACAGTTAGAAGGGATGCTTGACATGTTCTTGCCGCCCTGCAGCGCTCTTCCGCGCCGTCGGTGCTCCCTCGTGCTCGTAAATGTGTTGACCGTGGGGTGTGGGTCAAAGAGATATAAAATACTCGTTTTCATATTAGACATAGAAATTTCTTGGATCTATTTTTATTTTGTTTTTTAATTTGAAGGAGTTGTCGTCCAATCTCCTCGAATATCCGGTAGTTATCCGGATTATTTGAACAGTGCTTTTTTGTGGTGCGAAGCTTTTGCTTGACCCAACATGGAGAGAGAAGCGGAGCAGGTCCGTGTGTTGAACCGCGGCATCCTTCGGTTCTACCCATCCCCTGGTACAGACAGCGAAGCAGATGCAGGTCGATCTACGTCGCTGGACAAGACAAACCCACAATGCATCGCACACTCCAACCAATTCGGCATGACAGTCGTGACTGTCCCAGGTGGTCTTGGCATCACGCGCTTTGCAACGTTAGAAGTTGCAACCAAAGAAAGCGTGGACAAGAAGGACAACAACATGGACCCGCTTGTTGACATGCCGTTCGATGCTCATGTGTCTCTACCGACTACGCCGCATGTGTTGTCGTTGTCCCCGTCCCAGACACTCCTGGCCGTTGCCTTCGATTCGTCCCTCGCCATCTACGAGCTTTCTCGCCTCGTCGACGACGACCCTCTTCCATCTAGTCTTATTAATGGCGCCGATGTCCTTGCCTTGTCGTGGAGCGCCCATCTCGACGAGTCCGGGGACGACCTTTGGCTTGCTGTCCTCACGTCCACCCGTCAAATCCATGTGTACAGCATTCAAGGCAACTTGGAGTGCGTCGAAAGCACTATCGAAGCAACGTCCCATTGCTGGAGCCCGTGCAATAGCATTCTTGCCGTGGGCGACGACGAAGGGGTTATCCACAGGCTGACGTTCCAAGATGGAGCATTCAGCGAACTCGATACGCTGGAAAATCCAGAAAACACCGACAACGCGCCAGGTACATGATCGATGTTCGTTGGGCTTTTCCATCATGCCATACCTTATCCCCACGAATTAGTCCATCACATCAATTGGGCCGAAGCAGATCTCCTCCTGGCCGGCTACCGCCGCGGCGACCCCGACGACGTGGAAGTGTCGTCGTGTCTCTTTGAAGACGGGAATCCCATTCCACTCGACTCCCTTGTCGACTTCTTCCCGAACAGCGACGCGCCGCGTGACCATGCATTCTACTCGTGCTACTTGCCTGCGTGGCGAATGTTTTTTGTCGGTTGTTCGCTGAGCACGGACATTGAGCTCCTTGTATGCGACCCCGACACTTGCGAGTGGCAAAAGTGGAAACCCGAGGAGAGATATACCCCGCGCCTCCCCATGAACGCAGGTATGCGATCCATCGCGGCATGCTGATCTCATGCATGTTGCAACTAGCCGATGAAGACACGTTTCCTGTCGGCATGACGCTGATTCTCAATTCTACCACCGATATCGTTGGCATCGACGATTTCACGTACGCTCCGTGCCCGTTGGTGCTGTGCGCGACCACGGACGGCCTCGCCCTCAACTTTGCCTTGTTGGATGTGTCGGTCGGCGAAGCGCTCGACTTTTTGATGCCCGTCGTCGACCTCCCTCTGGCGACTCGCCCCACCGTGGCCGTATCGCGCGCCGTCACCCTAAGCCCAGACGAAGAACAGGACAGTCAGCCCATTGTGTTTGACGTGTCGACTACCGCCCCGTCGTTTACGTTCAATCCAGAAGCACCTGGAACAACGCGTACTTTTGGCCAAGACACTGAAAATGTTTTCAACGAAGACAGCGACGACGAAGACGAAGCGCGAGAACGAGCAGAGGAGCATGCCAAGGCGTCGGACGCGTTTGACGCAGTCGACACACGAGGCGAAGGAACAATACCCCTGACGGATTTTGAAAAGCTCTTTGACGCGCTGGGCACGGTCTACTCCGCGGAAGAACACACAAATACCATCCGGAAACTGGACCGCAAGGGCGTGGTGCGCAAGGACGACTTTGTCGCGTGGTACGTGGACTGGATCATGGCCGACATCGACGACGACTGCAGCGACGGCGACGCGACCCACGGCGACAACGACAACACTTCAGGTGTCATGAAGTCGGATGCGGAGATCTTGGCGCTGCGCGAAAGGTTTCGACCACAGGAAGGAAGCTGGAAGTGCGAGGAGTGTATGGTTTTGAACACGGTGGCAGGGGCAGCGCGGTGCGTGTCGTGCGAGACTCCGAATCCAGCAGCAAAGGCAACGCCAAAGGTGTCTGCTGGCTTTGCCGCATTCGCTGCCCCTCCTGGAGAGTTCAAAGGGTTCTCGTTTGGAGTTCCGTCTGGAACGACGCCGACTCCCGTTGCTACATCTGCCACGTCGGGCGGATTTCAGTTTGGAGTGTCGGCGCCTCCAACGGGTGTGCGTCCTTCATTTTCTGGTGCTGAAGGGTTTAGCTTTGGGGTGTCCACCGCAGTGCCGGTGCCGACAGCTCCAGCACCAGGAGGTTTCTCCTTTGGTGTTGCCCCACCAACTAAGCAAGACTCATCGACGACGGTCCAACGTGAAGAAAAAAGTGTCGTGAACGATACGGACAACGTGTTCAAGGCGGACGATGCTTCGGACGACGAAGAGGAGGAGCGGAGAGAAGAAGAAGCGAAAGCATCGGCTGCATTCGATACGGTGGACACTGCAAAAAGTGGGAAAATCCCTGCCGCTAACTTTGACAAGATCTTTGATGCGCTCGGGACGGTGTATTCGGCGGACGAACACAAGAAAACTCTGGCCAAATTGAACCACGACGGGTTTGTCTTGAAGAAGGAATTTCTAGCGTGGTATGTCGATTGGATCTTCTCTGAATTTAGCGACGACGATCACGACGACGTCGACAAGAATACCGCAGTCCCTGACTATGATCCACACGCCAAGATCAAGTCGGAGACGGAAATTAAAGCTGCTTTTGACAAATTCAAGGGTCCTCCTGGGAGCTGGAAGTGCCCTGAATGCATGATCATGAACAAAGACGAAAAGGCGCTGCAATGTGCTTCGTGCGAAGCGCTGAACCCGAATGCCCCGACCCCAGCTGCCACTGCCCCCACGACTCCTGGTGGGTTTTTCTTTGGCGTGTCCAAGCCCAGTGCCGACCCCACCACGGCACCAGTCAATACACCCACTTTTTCCTTTGGCGTCCCGGCGTCGGATTCTGTTGCTACGACTAAAACTACCTTTGATTTCGGTGGCGCCAAGGGTGCCAGTCCATCGTTTTCGTTTGGAGTACCTCCAGCCCCCGCAGTTGCTAAGAATGCGTCCGCCGACGACGGCGGCTATGGGAAAGACACGGACAACGTCTTTACCAACGACGATAGCGACGGCGATGATGACGAAGAAGAACGCCAAGAAGAGTTGAAAAAAGCTAGCGACGCCTTTGACCAAGTCGACACGGATACCGTGGGGCATATCTCAGTCTCAAAATTTGAAAACCTATTCGACGCGCTCGGCACGGTCTATGCAGCTGACGAACACAAAAGGACACTGGAGAAACTCAATCGAGATGGACAAGTGTGGAAATCGGACTTTGTCGCGTGGTATGTCGAATGGATCTTTGCCGAATTGGACAGTGATCACGACGACGATCAAGAAAAGCACTCTGTACCGGACTTCGACCCCAACGCCAAGATGAAGTCGACAGAAGAGATTCGTGCGGCCCTGGGCAAGTTCACCAAGCCTGCTGGAAGCTGGACGTGCGACGTTTGCATGGTCTCCAACCCTGATGCAAAAGCAACCAAGTGCGCCGCATGCGAATCACCGAATCCTTGTTTGCCCAGTCAACCTGCAAAAACGTCAACCGGCGCAGTGACATCGGCATTTGGCGGGATTTCCTTTGGCGTGGTGCCGTCACCCTGCGACAAAAAATCCGGGATCACGACTGAAGCACCTTCTACCACGAAGAAAACGAATTCGTTTGAGGCGATTAGCTTTGGCGCGGGAAATGCTTTTCCAGCCACGAAAGAGTTCACGTTCCCAGTGCCAACACCAGCGACCAAAGCGCCAGATGCGGTCGTTGCTATGAATACAACAACGTCATTAGGCTCAGGCTACCCCCAAGACACGAGCACAAAACCAACAGTAACATTTGACGCCTCTGCTGCTCCGAAGGCCTCGTCGGCCTACCCCCCTGACACAAGCTCCAAACCACCTGTTACATTTGGTGCGTCTGCTACGAAGAAGGCCACGTCAGCTTATCCCCCAGACACGAGCTCGAAACCTACCGTGGCATTCGGCGCCTCTGCTGCCCCGAAGGCCTCGTCGGCCTACCCCCCTGACACGAGCTCAAAACCCACCGTAGCTTTCGGTGCCTCGGCCCCAAAGGCTGCATCGGGGGTTTTCCCACACACAAGCTCGAAGCCTACCATTCCATTCGGGAATGGAGGCAACTTAACGGGCCTTTCCGCTGCTACAACAACCAAGGCGCCATCGCTTGGCGTAGCAACCTCGCTCAAGTTTGGTGGCGCCTCTACCCCTTCGTCTTCCGTGCTAACACCACTAGCTACGAAACCAAAAGACTCCAACACAATCCAGCTCGAGAAAGCCATGCCAGCAACCGCGCTTGAAGGCGAGATGTGGAACTTGATCAATGTTTTTGATCAAACGTTTCAATCGATCCGTCGCAATGACGCCAATTTCGTCGCGGCCACATGCGAATCGGAATCGAACTTCATCCAGCCCTTGAAAAACTTGCGGTCGAAAGTGCGGGGCCTGTGCGACATGATGGACAAACTGAACGATTCGTTCAACGTTCTCGAGACCGACGTCAAAGTGATTGTGGGCAACTGCAGCGACATCGAAGTCCAAATCGAATGCTCGAAAAACTTGCTTCGGGCCATGAACGACAAGACTGTGATCGCATTCTTGGAAGATCAGCCATTAGACAAGCGGTCCCAGAACACACGAACCGCGCTGCGGACGCAGCTGGATGCAATCGATAGGATGCGTGTGGAGCTGGAAAAGCACGTGCTCGCGTTGAAGAAATCTGCTTCGTCCGCCGACGCGACAAGGTTCGTCAGCATTCAGAGTATTTTCATCACATGCTCACGGGGCTTTGTTTCACAGCACCAAAACGAATGACGCCGCTCAGTTGTTCCGTGTGCTGAAGCTGAACTACGACACGTCGAAGCGAGAGTACACGCGCGTGTTGGAGCTCACGGAAGCACTCAAACAATTGGAAGGCAAGCACCAGCAATACACCCGAACCGCACCCAAGCCTGCTCGCCCCGTCGCGACCAAGGACCTGTTAAAGCAGTTGCGCCAGCACGACGACACTCTACCAGCGTTCCGATCGAATTTGGTGAAGTGGACCAGTCAACCGATCGTTCCGCGGGAAGTGTCTGCACCTGTCAAGCGCCGCCCTCTCCGAGACACTCTAGCGCCGTCGAAACCCGCCCCAGAAGTTCCTCCGCGCGTTGCGAGCAAGCTCATGTTTGGAGCGAAAACCACGATCCCGACTCAAGTCACAGAAGCGGGGAATGGCGTAACGTTTTCCAAACCGGTGGTGGTGGACGGCACTCGGAAGTTGTCCGTCGAAGCAGAAAAAACACCAAAATCCGTCACGTTTTCGGCGTCGACCAAGCCTGGTGCGTTTGGCTTTGAGCCTGCCAAGCATCCTTCGTCGACCGCGGCCAAGCCGAGCAGCATTCGGCCCAACCTGTCGTTCATGAAGACGGACGACGATGAAGAAGAAAAAACTGCGTCGCCCCGAGTGCGAAAAATGTCGACGAGCAGCCGAAATGGAACCCCTGACAGATCTTCAAAGTCGCCAAATGTGGCCCCCATGGCGGCTCCATTAAATGTCAAGCCGCTCGACTTTAGCGCAAAGCCAAAGGACTCTGGCATGTCTGCGTTCTCGTTTACTCCTTCGATTTCAAAGCCACCCGCTACACCAGGAGCACCGGGCAAGGCTGCCTCGACGACTCCATCCGCCTCTGCCGCCGTAGACTTTGGGGTCAAGCCCAAGGACGCCGGTGTGCACACATTGTCGTTTACGCCGACCATTTCGAAGCCACCTGCAACACCAGGAACACCGACCAAGGATTCCGCGACGACTTCATCCACGACTACCACAAGTGCCTCTAACTTGATCGAGCGCCTGAAATCGTTTTATGCAGAGTACGCCCCTGGCAAGAGCACGGCAGCAGCGGAAAAGATGATTGCGCAAAACCCAGGAAAAGAAGAGGACGTATTCCACAAGCTTCTGCAAAAATATGTGAGCAAGGATGCCACGGTCGCCCAAGCCAAAGAGTACATGGCGTCTGGAAAAGTCCCTGATGCGTTAAAGAGTGCTTCTGCAGCGGAGAAGCCATCCCCATTCGGCAAGACCAGTGCGGCAACTGCACCGGCCACACCAAGTCCTTTTGGAACCGCTTCTACAGCATCCTCTACGTTCGGGTCATTTGGGACGACAAATGCCGCAGCTAAACCACCAGCAGCGGCTGCTTCTCCATTCGGAGGAAACAGTTCATTTAGTGCAACCGCCACAGCTGCTAGCAGTCCGTTCGGTGCAACGTCACCTGCATCGCCAAGTCCTTTCGGCACCACGACATCTACCCCACCCGCTGCCAGTCCTTTTGGAGCGGCACCGGCAACACCTGCGTGGCCTTCCTCTCAGACGGCCGCCGCGGCCCCGTTTGGGACTCCATCAGCATTTGGCGTTGATTATCGCTCCAAAGTTGTCGAGTTTTACAAGAAGCACAACCCAGACAAGTTGGCCGAAGTCGACACAGTGCTACAAAAGTACAAGGGCAAAGAAGAGGAACTGTTAAAGAAACTAGAAGCCAAGTACAACAAGCCTCAAAATGTCGCTGGTGTGTTTGGCGGGTCGAGCCCGTTTGGTGCAAACGCTTCGACCACCCCGGCGTTTGGGTCGACTCCGAGTCCGTTCGGCGCGGGTCAACCGGCTGCCTCGGGCTTCGGGTCGGCTTCCCTATTTGGAGCGGCTGCCACGACTACCTCTTCCCCTGGATTTGGAAATCCAACGCCGAGTCCTTTTGGAGCAACCACAGCGGGATCTCCTGGTTTTGGAGTGACAAGTCCTTTTGGTGCGGCCGGTGGCGCTCAGTCCACCGCAACACCAGCGTTTGGTTCGACAACACCGTTGGGTGGTGGATTTGGGAACACGCCTGCTGCTTCACCAGCATTTGGTGCCACGTCTGCGATGGGCGGGACCGCAGCCCCTGCTTTTGGAGCGACCACGGCCTTGGGTGGTGCGACAACCGCGCCTGCATTTGGAGCCACAACGTCATTGGGTGGTTCGGTTGGTGGTTTTGGAGGCTTGGGCGCGTCTGCGCCAAAGTTTGGCGCACCATCGACGTTGGGAAGTGGTGGCGGGTTCTCGTCGTTTGCGGCCACGTCTGGCGCCACCCCAAGCTTTGGATTTGGTAGTCAAACGTCGTCGTCTACAGCCCCTGCATTCGGCGGCGGTGGATTTGGAGCGGGCGGGTTTGCCGGCTCGAGTTTTACGCAAGCTCGTCGATAGGGTCGGCCTCGTGTTCTTTATTCAGAAACATTGCATCGTTTGTGTTGAACACTGTGTCGTTGTAGAATAACCCTGCAACCTCTGCTCGAAACCAAAGCCGTCGGTGACCAATCGATTGTACATTATGGGACGCTATTGCTGCTTGCTAACCAAACGCCATGCGCGGGCGCGTGTGGGTACGAACAACTCGAGTGACGATGGGTTGGCGTGGGGACTCGCCGCGAGTGGTGCATGGTTTCCTTGAACAGGCGAAGGTTGCTGTGGAACTTGGAGATTGCGTCATGCCATACAACCGACGACATGGCGTCCTCTCCGTCGTCTGATAGAATGGACAGCCGCGACTCGACCAGTGTCGACGCGACCGACGAAGTCACGGCTCTGTCATCGCCCTGGTTGGGCTTCGTCGGCGTACTCTGGTCGTTGCCGTTGCAATGCTGCGACCCGTCGAGTCGAATGAGTTTGTGCCGGTGGTCGAGGACCGTGTCGAGTTCGGGCTTGTCCGGCTCGTCGTCGAGGATGATGAACGACTGGGTGTCCCTGGGCTCCATCATGTCGACGTCATCGTCATCGTCGTCATCGTCGAGCTGCAAGATTTTGTACGTCTGCGGCGCCACCCTGGACACGATCGACCGAGGCGGGTGATGCGTTGTCGACCGTGTCGACGACACACTGTCTTGGGAAGACCTTGGCGCGTCGGACGAGGATCTGCCGTCGTGGGTTGCGGCGGCATCCTTCAACACACATCGAACGCACACGGGGAGCTCTTTGTTGTACTCTGCGACGAATCCAGTCGTGAGGCACGCCTTGCACACGCGGTCGTAGCACGTGGCACACGATCGCTTCGTCTCGAACGTTTTGAATGGGCGGAAGCAACTGGCGCATTGCTTGGTCGACACAACGTTGTGGAGGGTCGCGGCGGACGACGTTGCAGCTTGCATGAGCTTAAAGTACATGTTGAGCTGGGCCGACATGGTCAGCACCCGCTTCTTCATGAACCTCCGCGCGACCATGGACGGCAATGTCCCGCGGAAGTCGACGTGAATGCAGCATACAACGTTGAGCACGCCTGGCGAGATTTCCGTGAA